GAGCCTTCCCTTAAAACAGCATCGATATAACATTAGAGAACCAAATGACGACAGCATTTGGACAACGAAGATGATCAGCCACTCAGCTCACTACCACCTCAAAAGACCAACCAAACAAAGTGCACCATTCCCGAAATAGAAAACCAAACTCCAGCCCCAAAACAACCAGAATTGATAAAGTGCCAATTATTGTCGTAGATGAGTCCCAAGCGGATGAATTCTTAAAAACTTAAACAGCAAACCGAAAAGAGAAACTGGCACCTTAAAGGACGGCGCCTTTGAAAATACAGACTCGACTCACTCGATTCATTCGCAAATAGTTTGAAGAAACGAAGCTTAAAGCTCACACCTACTTATGCCCGATGATAAAGTTTTAACTCATAATAAAGGCTACCCATCACCACAGATCCCCAAACCATCATCAAGAACTTCTTGACAAGGATTCAAGGTTAGCTTAATACACTATTAAGAACAGAAAGAAAATAAACCAATGCCGCTTTTCTAGTACATATACCAAAATCAGAAGAAAATAAGGAAGTATTCAAATCAACGCATAGTTATATGAACGTAATATAGATCATTACGCAAGAAATCGGCCCTCCACAATGCTATATATGCCAGGGAGTTTTTCACATTTCCCTGCTCTGCACGATCTGGGTATGCGTTCGTTGCGGAGGCAATCACAAACCTATAATGCACCCGTAGTCGAGACCAGCCAGCCATATGTTTATCACGGCAAAGGTCCTCACCCGCCAACTTCTCAAATTGCCCGGCCAGACCAAAAAACAAACAGTTCATCCACCCCCCCTCTACCCCAACCATCCCTGGCCTAACAAAGCCAACTTTCCTCCGCTGACATCAACAGTAACGAAATCTCTCTCAACGCAAATCTAACAGGAAAACTACCAGCACGCAAATCCTCCCTTTCAGACCTCTTTGATTCTCTTCGCTAAAACAATCGGGACAATGATACAGGACTCAAAAACATCAAAACCCAAAATCACCCTCTTATAAATAAATCGCAGAGTCGAAATCATTAAAAAATAGGAGATCATCTTTAATTCATAAATTCAAGAAGTGCAACATAAAAAAGCCTCTTTAACGCTAACGCTCTTTACCATAAAAAGGAATTATCCAACCTCATTATTGAATTGAACCTGACGTAATACTCATACAAGAGACTCACCTTAAATCAGCTCAAAGTCTTTATGTAATTATAACACCTACCGTAAGGATCGTGAGGCAGGAAGAGGCTTTCATCATCCATTGTTAAAAGGAGCATGAAACACTGTCAAATTCCTAATCCCAGCACCGCTTTCGAAATACAATAGAAATTGTAATAGAAACAAAAAAATTCAATTCGAATATATACATCCCACCAAAATAATCCCACGAACAAGATTGATCACCTCCTTAAATTCTAATACTTCTACCATTGTCGAGGGACTTCAACGCAAACACCCCTGCTGGAACCGAGGACTGCTAAAAAAAATGACACATTTAAACTCATTCATCAAATAATTATAACATTCATACTCCCACGAGCCCACCCATTACGGTACAAGCGCCACCACACAATTGACTTCTTCATCTCAAATAACATTATAACAGATGCAATTTTCTGTAATTCAGCCCCGTCTTCCGACCACACCCCATTTGTATTTGAAATCCCCATTTAATAATACCCCTTACTTGACAGAAGTATAGGAGTACAAATTGGATCAGACTCTGAAATTCTGAAAACCCATACAAGGAAACCCATGCATCAACAACAAAAATATTTAGAAAACGAAGTCTCAAAATTTACCAACAGCATAATTCTGCTTTAAAGGAAGCCACCAATACTTTTGATGTGAACAAGCCTTTCCTTCCTCTGCCTGCTGATATAAGAAAGTATTAAAGAGAAAAACCGGATCCGTAAAAAGATGGCAAACCACCAGGGATCCACAACTCAAACACGAACTAAATTCTATGAAAAAAAAATCAACAGAAGAATCAAGAACTTCAAAAACCCAAAAATGGACCAATTTCCAAAATAACCTAGCTATAGAGGACAATTCCCCATTTGACATTTTTAGCAAATTCAAGAAACCTTATAAACCTATCCCACCTATCCATGGACCTAGCGGAATTTCATATACAGAAGAAGATAAAACTTTATCTTTTGCGGACTATAAGGAAAATATATTCACTCTTAATTCCACTCCGTACGACAATAACCATATTCAACGGGTTAGCCTGGTGGTCAATACAACTTAATACACCTGCTCCGTACAACTTCACTTTCCTGACTACCCCAGCAATCGTTGCCAACACCATCAGCTCCTCACAAACGAAGAAAGCCCCAGGGCACGATGGCATCTCGACTAAAGCACTGAAACATCTTCCGATCAACGCTCTTACCTGTCTAAGATAATCACAACATTATCAAATTCGCTCATTTTCCTAACTCATGGAAGCAAGCTATAATAATGTTTTTGCTAAACCGCAACAAAATCCACTCTCCCACAAACTATCGCCCTATCATTTTACTTAGCCACCTGTCTAAAGTTACTGAGAAATCCTACTTTTCCACATCCAAAAAATTCACCCTTCCATGAATTTTTCTCCCAAAGACAATTCGGTTTTCGTATCATCATAGCACTTGCCACCAACTTCTTGGAGTTATCAACATTATCACTGAAGGCTACAACTGCAAGCTTCCGACCGGTGCTATTTCTCGATATCGCGAAAGCTTTTGACAGGGTATGCACGAGGCCTTATTTACAAACTAATCACTCTCAATTTTCCAGATCATTTTATTCGCTTAATAGCCTCTTTTCTCAGCAACAGACATTCAGAATCAAAATCGGTACTGCTTACTCTACCACCAGAGTAATCAAGGCTGTTGTCCCACAGGGGTCGGCACTTTCGCTGTACCTTTTTAATATTTATACACAAGACATCCCTAAAGACCCTTCTGTTCATCTTGCACTCTTTGCCGATGACACCGCCATACTTACTAAAGCCTGTACAGTAATCGCCGTAACAACTCCAAAACTATCTCATAAAACTGGAAAAATGGCTTACCCTTTGGAGTTTGGAGGATTAAAATTAACACTGATAAAACCAAGGCAATAATTTTCCGTAAAGGAAACATGAAATACTATCCTCCACCCCCTGAAATATTTGACGAAGAAATAGACTGGATTAATGAAACCAAATACCTTGGAGTCACCCTCGACCAAAAACTTACCTTCAGAACCCATTTCCGGTCCGTACTAGAAAAATTTAAAATCACCACAGCTACTATGCGACCTCTTCTTGGTAGAAAAAGCAACTTATCTACTACAAACAAATTAATTCTTTATCGCTCCATACTGCGCCCAGCTCTCCTGTATGCAGCACCGATCTGGAGACATGCAGCTAAAACCAATATTAAACAATTACAAATTCTACAAAATAAAATTCTACGAGAAATTATCAATCCTCCTTGGTAATTCCCAACAACATCTATATTCCACAGAGACCTTCGAATCGAACTTATTCAAGAGTATATTAAAACGATTAGCGGTCAACTTCTTTTATTCAGTACAAACCCACAGTAATAGCCTTATTAGCACCCTCAGACACTCCCCGCGTCCCAGAGAAAAACATCGTTATCCTTGTGATATCCTTCCCACATAAGATTCACAACCTTAATTGAATCATTCACGCAAAACTGACTCTGCGGTTTTACCCACCCGCGGCTACATCTTATAACGACACAGAACTTGACACTCCCCTTTTTTCGTCGCCGCTAGTGAGGACCTTACTCTCTTTCATCCGCCTCCAACACTCCTTTCACCCTTCTCTTTCTCCCCCACCCGATCTTTATCAGAAGCCGAGTAAAAAGCTGTTTCTACATCTTGACACTCGAGAATAAAATACGATCTGTGTGTGTGGAACCAAAAGAATTTTTCTAACTAAAGAGAAAATCGTAAGTATGATTGCCATCATTCTTTCCTTTAAGCATGATTGCGCAAATGCTAAGAACAGAAGATATAGAGAACTAGTAAGTAGATGCAGGTCGTGGAGGTTAGGATAGACTTCTATGATGCAGGCGGATCTTTACCAATTAATCTTGATCCTTTAGAAGCAGAACTTTCGTCTGATTGGTTGATCTCTACCCAGAACAGAGGTCCAGCCGAGACATTTCGGTGAGGTTTGAAAAAAATCCCGAGTAGCCGCAACATCGTTTCCGTAGATAGGCGGGACTTCGGAGCTCTTTTTTTTTTTTAGGAATCCTTCCCTTTAAACCAGTGCTACCAGAATCTCGTTTCTCAGAAAAGTCCCGTCTAGCAGGGACTGTTGTTAAAAGTGATAACCTCTTTATACTACATGATTAACTTTCACTGGATTCACTGCAATAATTACTACCTTGCTTTTTTGCTAGAAATCCACTAGCGGTGCCACATCTCAATTTTTCCATCTTTTCCCGTATTGTCTAATCATTAAATGCATGAATGGCAACACTCTTTGAAAGGGATTTGTTGATATTCTGCAAGAACACTATTTGAAATCAGCATGTCTTTGTCTATGGTCTAAGCGAGTTGCATTTAAAAGTATTAGTTTTCTAACGAGCATTTTAGTTAATATTCTAATAATTTTCGGCCATCGGACTTTTCTAAGAATTCATTTTTACTGTGTCCATAATATTTTTCTGTTCAAGATCATTTTCTTGTGTCTTCAATTATGTCAGGATCTTTGAAACCTTTTGATTGTCCTGCTTGCAGATCAACATTTACAGGTTCCTGTGTTCTTTAATCTTGTGTGGTTATAATATTTGCACTAAATCCAAGTATTGCTATAATTTCAAGTGTGTTTAGTTTATTTGCACGTGAGTTTAGGCTAGGTCCACGCGAATAAAACCAAAATTTCGTGTTATTTTTATCCTATTACGAATATTGTTAGCTGTAACAAACATTGTTTATTGTGATAAGTATTTATTATAGTTATTTGTAATATGTACAGTTAAATATACATTATGGTGCGGAAATATTGAAATAAATTAGACATATGGGCTTGATACCCATAAAACCGGAAGTTTCTTTAAACGATTAAATGAGTGTTAAATTGTAGTTGAACTGTTAGGTTATAAAAACATAATTCAGAATTTAACTTTATTGAATCAATGAAAAAAAGTTGTGTGGAAAATTTGAACTATTCACATTAATTCTATGTATAATTTTTAATTTTATTATGTTTGAATATGCTTTTTATATTTTATTACGTTAAAAAAGGAAACTAAAAAAAAAAAAAAAAAAATTCAGAATTTCTTTTTATCTAAATATAATATTCCTTGTTTTTCCCCCCCATAAAAATTTGTATTCTGGTGTATTTGGAAATAATATATACATAATTTTACGATTTATTGATATTAATTAATTTAATGTATTCAAATCTGTGTTCTTCCCTTTTGTTTCTCTGAAGAGATATCGGTTGATCTCTGGATTATGGTAACTTGGCGATTTTTTGGCGACAGACTCTGCTACAGCAACCCTCTATTTTTTTTTCGCCGCCACTAAAGACATGTTTCTTTTCTTTTTATTTACTGAACACTTTTTCCAACAATCTACTAGCCGAATTACACTTATGCTAGAAATTTTATGTAGCAAAACTGCTTAATCATGACAAATATTAACTGCAAAATTGGGAAAAAGTGCACAATCACAAACTCCTTGCACGTTTTTCAGAATAGCACATACACATAAACCATTTACACGTCGACTTATTTTTACTTAAAAAAAAATCCCAGAATTGCACAAAAATGGCATTGCATACACTCCTAACTTTATCCATCTACACTGCTATTTTCTCATAAATTATAAAAATTTGCACGAAAATGCAAAAAAATTCTGTGAATCTTTAAGCTCGGTAAAAAGCACATATATGAAATTACCTGATCGTGAAAAAGTATATATCCTTTCCAAGGATGAACATTTCCACGTATAAAATAAATAAAATATCCAAAAACTTTTACCTCTAAATTATCTATTATATTATAAACGTCACCAACGAATTCATACCTCAAACATTACAAATGGTTATAAATACTTAGTGTCAAATATTTAAATTATTTCTATGCACTTTACTTCCACTGAAATGTATACCAAATTCCTACAAACATACATTCACAAAATAACTATCATTTAATTAAAATATAATTAAATTCAAAACACTACTTAAAATATAAATAAGCACATACATTAAATTAATAAAAATTAGCTTACAATCCAATTACTTTAAACTAAATCATTGCTAATAACAATTTTCCAGTAATACCATATTACTTTATTTACTCCTTACATTTAGAACAATGCATAAAAATATATCCTCAAATAATTAAAAATACTAACTTACCTGATCTTCTTCAGAATCTGATTACGTGGCTGATAAACTTTTCTTATTTCCTCCGCCAAATAAAAAGCAAGCGTATGTGCGCCTGTTTTCAGGATCTTTAAAATCATACTTATAGTTCACAGCAAGGTACCAGGTAAAATAAATACTTAATAAACATCTTTACTCACCTCACCAACCTTAAAAAAACACTTATTACTACCCCCTTCAATCCCACTAAATACCCATTTCGAATTCACTTTAGTTAGGGCCATGGGATCCAAAAATTAACCAACACTGTTTCACACAACACAGAATAAAGCTAAATACAAAATTTCCAGATTTCCCCCCCTTTTCCGATTAAAGAACTGTAATTCGTCCATTAATGTCACATGACATATCTCATGATCTCTCATTTCCCTCACACAGCGTAATCGGAACTGAGTACTTCTCACATTATTACCAAAGTCCTAGGTAGTAACCTTTATCGGCTTCTAAGTGTCGCCAAACTACCAGTTACCATATTCCAAAGATCAGCCAAGATATCAAATTGAAGTATATTATTATTTAGACAGTAGTAATGTTATTGACCTCCCTAAAATATCTTTGCTTTTCAAATGCTACTTAAGTTTTAGAATTTTAGTTTGTTTTTAAATTGCATACTTAAAAAACGCTGCTGTATTATGTCAAGTTCTTTTAACTGTAAATGGAGAAAGTTCGATATAATTGATCTCTTGACCATCATTTGAATCAAATATATAATTTGTTCTTTTAGTTTTTATGGTAGAATTGGGTACTCTTCTGTTATTGGAACTGTGTTCAGAAATGTATGTATGTATAGTGTATGAATGTATCGGTAAAAGTATATTTTAGGGTACCCCTTATCGATTTTTGGCGGTACATGGATTCTGACTTTGTGCAAGGTCTTGTTATTTTGGATTGCATAGCAGTGATTTTTGTGCTAAAAATTGCCGCTACACGAAGCCAATAACAAGACGAAGAATTGCACAAACTTTGTATCTATGTACGCATCGATTTATTTTCACTTTAAAAAACATCCCAGAATTGCACAAAAATGACATTGCACTTTTTATCCATGTACACATCGACCTATTTTCACTTAAAAATCATCAGAGAATTGCACAAACGAGGCTTTGCGCACTCCCTTGAGATTGTCCATGTACAGATCGGTATATTTTCACTGAAAGAGTCAAAAGAGCACCCAATTCTACAGTAGAGGCAATCAAAAAATGTACAAGCTCAATAAACTACATTTTAAACCAAACAATAAAATGACATAAAAAAGGAAAAACCTGTTATGCATTTAAGCATTACACAAAGCAAATATCAACTTACCTCTATGGCACACAGCATTCCTTAACAGCATCTAAAAACTTCCTAAAATCATCTGAATTAGAATCTGTATATCGCCGTCTCCACATAAATTCATAAAAATAAGAGTAAAAAATGTCCTACATATTCTTGACTGTCCCGAAAATGTCTAACAAGTAAACCTTCATTTACACACCAATCGATTAATGCACTTTTACCCTTTCGTTCCAAATTGTACAGAACCTTCAAATTAATCTTACTACATTCAGCCATTTTATCGTCTAAACAGTGAAACAAGCAATGTATTTCATAACCACACACACACCACAAAAGCCCTTACAAAACATACCATGATTCCAAATTTCCCAGAATAATGCAAACGATTACGTCATAATAGCGTTTCCATAACATTCAACTACTCAGAGTACCAGAAATGAAACAACTTGGCGATAAATGAAACAACTTCACGATAATACAAAGGGTTCAACTCTAACTGAATGTATCTGTCGTGTATGTGTGTATACATATATATATACATACTCACATATATGCACAGACAATTACATATGTGCAAACATTCCTGAATCCGGTCCTGATAGCAGAAGCATACCTAGAATTGTAACATGTACTTATTACAGTACAAAGTCCGTAATCCGGATGTCCATTATCCAGAATGATCTATAATCCGGACCTCAAAGCCACAAACTTACGCATGCGTGTAAAGCCAGTAAAGCGTTTACCCATGCACGGTTCCAATAGTGAAGAAAGTAACAGAGAATGTTATTGAAATTGACAAGTTAGTCGGTGTTCTCGACACAGCAGTTACAGGACTTGAACAGTGGAACTTTGTAATTGAACAAGAAATTATGCCTGTTTATAGAATTAAACAGAAAGTATTAGCACAAAAAATGAAGCAACTTAAACAACAAGAAATGTTGGCTAATCTTTGGAATATGGTAACAGGTAGTTTGGCGACATTTTGGTAAGGCGATATAGGTTACTAGCTAGGATTTCAGCAGTGTACATGGATAAAGTCAAGAGTGTGCGCAATGCCATTTTTGTGCAATTCTGGGATGTTTTCTTAAGTGAAAATAGGTCGACGTGTACATGGATGATACCGTGTATGTGCAATTCTTAAAATCGCGGCAAGCAGTTTGCGATTCTGCACTCTTTCCTCCCCAATTTCGCACCTAATCTTCATCATGATTAAGCACTTTTGTTCCATAAAAGTTCTAGCATAAAGTGTAATTCAGCTAGCAGATTTGTTTGGAAAAAAATGTTGTAAAAAGGGGAAAAAAAAAAAAAAAAAAGTGCCTTTATTTCGTGAAAACAAAATGGCGTCCAAAACAAAAACTAGCAGGTTGCTGTAGTAGGGTTGGTCGCCAAACAATCGCCAAGTTACCATAACCAAAATGTTTAATAAAGTAAAATATTAAGCTTTTTTTTTTTGTAAATTTTCATTCCCTTTAGATCACAATTGCTCTTTATTTCATAAATTACGGTTTCATATTTTTAATTGTATAATTTCTGCATGCCATCTTACCAAATTTAAATTGATGATCTAATCTGGAAAAACCCCTAATCCAGAATCGCCGAAGTCCCAACAAGTTCGGATTACGGACTTTGTACTGTACTGCTTATTGGTTACTTTGGTCAACAACTTGTGATATTTGTATTGCTCTTTCAACAAACCAAGCTGAATTACTTCACTTACAAACTCAATGAATTGTAATATTTTTTTTGTAACAGAAAATTTTTCATGATTAGCTTTTTGTAGTGAAACTGAACTTACAAAAAAAAAAAAAAAAAAAAAAAAAAAAAAAAAAAAGGGAATAGTTCTATATCTCTCATTCTACTGGGCCAATTGATGAAATTTAACTTGCATTTTTTATGTCTCGAAAGTGGGACGTAGGATATGTACTAGATTTATATATAGCATTGTTCTAATACAGGTAAGCATTGTTCTAATATAGGTATTTTAACACAAAATCGGACCTTTTTCTCGAATGACATCCCAGTTGTTTTCCATATTTCCATTCTATGACTCAAATTGTGCCAAACTGCCAAGTTTTCTAAAAGTTGCACAAGTAGTTTTAAAAAATTTAGCTCTCAAAATTTTAGCTCCTAAATGTTAATTGAATTTGGTATATATTTATTAATATCTCTTTCTTTATTAAACTTATTTGATTCTCCCTTTCGCATTTTGAAATTTAGGTTCATTCCAACTAAAATTTGCCTATTTTTTATGATTTATTTTCAAAATTTGTGTTTTTAAATCATTTAAAAAAATTTTCAAAAAAATTTTGAATTGTAATCTATAAAATGGTAAAAGTATATTTACGGGTACCCCTTTGCAAAAACTGGCAATTTTTGGTGGTACACGGATACAGAGTTTGTGTAATTCTTTCACTTGTTATTTTGTCTTCACTACACAAAGACAAAATAACAAGTCAAAGAATTGCACAAACTCAGTATCCATGTAGACCTATTTTCACTTAAAACAAATCGCAGAATTGCACAAACTAGGCATTGCGCACTTCCTTGATTTTATCCATGTGCACGTCGACCTATTTTCACTTCAGAAAACATCAGAGAATTGCACAAACTTAGCATTCCGCACTCCCTTGAGAAACAGAAAAACGCTTGTTACTTTTCTGTTATCGGGACTGGATTCTAAAATGTATGTATGTGTGCATTGTATGTAGGTATATGTGTGTATGTACTATCAAATGTTTAGTTTTAGTTTGGTTTAATAATAACAAAACACGTAAGGATTGTTTGTCTAGGGGAAGGACACCTTCACAGAGGACTTTCTATGGGTAGTGGCTCATATCGATGTTACACAATAAGAAAAACCATGGAAAAGGTCATGCGGTTAGCGACTTAACCGCATGGCTGCTGGTGATCTGCACTATCGTGTGATTCCATATGTTTGCATCATTAGGAATCATTTGGTCATCTGCCTCACTGCTCAATTGATGCCATTAATAAATTAGTAACAAATTTTCGTATCCTAAAATATACATTTACTCTCTTATTTTTAATCTGGGAACAGTGTATATTTCTCTTCTTTATTGTTCACACTGAAACGACGAAGGTTATTGTGGAATATCAGAAACTGTTTTCATATCTTATTGCTTATATCTTTTAAATTTAGTTGGAAAAAGTTATTTACAATGGTTTTATCCTTATTACTTAATTTAATGTGTATATTTTTTGTATAGTTTCTGCAAGATGCAATGCTGTATCAAGATTTCCACGTATTCTCTCTTGCAATCATTCAATTTGTGAAGGCTGTTTACGAAGCGCAGCAAAGTACAGTAAAGAATTAAAATGTGCGGTGTGCCAGGTAAATTATATTATAGTTGTAAAAATATTAATTAAATATTGGAAACATAGAGATTTTTTTCGTTTGAAATGTGGTAGTCAGAATTTCTAGTTTTTCTCAAATTCAATATTTCTGGATTTGTGAAAAGTACTCGTTATCTTTCTCAAATTTTGTTTTAGGAAAAATGAATCAATCAGAGATTACATAAAGCTGAAACTCTTAAGAGTCTTTCAACATTAGACACTTTTACCACATGTATAGGAAAAGAAAAAATGGATATTTTAAACTTTAGTATGAGAGAAGATAGAAAACAAAAATAAGCAATATTGATAAACCCATTGTTGAAAATGTGTTTGGTACTTTCAGTTTATTTGCCTCCGACCAAAATGCTGCAAAAAAGTATGGATGAGGCAATGCAGTATGCTGCCAAAATAATTTTTAAATTTCGAGTATTTCTCCCCTTTGTTTTTTTGTGGGCTGTGTAAGACAGTATATTTTTTTAATTTTACCTATTAGATGAATGATTTTCAAATTTGCAAGACATGAGCAGGTTTCAGGAGAAAATTAGGAAGCAGAAACTAAAAATCTTTGCCAGTCTCTCACAAATTTCTGCGTAGCTACCTTGATAAAAAGAATGCTGCTTGACATATGTAAAGGAGAATTTCCACAGGAAACTTTTCTCTTCTAGTTATGAGACAAATTAATTTTTATTATTTTCAAACTTATTTGAGTGCTTGTAAGCACCTTGGTGCAGTTTGGTGATTCTTTAGAGGAAAAAAATAATAATGACTTGTTTTTAAAGGAAAAATTTATTACATACACATGTATTGTTAAATGTGTGTTTTATGTTTTAATTAGATATTTATCCTGACAATCAGTTAACAAACATACTTACTTGCAGATTATTATTTCTTTTGTTGTGGTGGAAATTTTATAATTGTTTTAAAAAATAAACTAAAAATAATTGTTATCTTTAGCAGTTTTTGGTTATAATACTGTATTTCTAAAGAAATTTTACTGCAATTACTTCCCATGTGCGAGGGCATTGCTTCTCATTGCAGGCAAATACTAGAAGCAATTATTTTAAAATAGATTAAAAAAAAAAAAAAAAAAAAAAAAAAAAAACTATTGTAATTTTTCAAATGATTTTTATTAAAAATCATTTGCAGACATTGAAACAGTGAAAAGAAGGCCTTTGAAAGTGTCTTGTTATTTTCAAAATAGTGTGTGATCTTGCACATGGATTAATTAGTTGCTAGACAAGTGGGCATCCAGGTAAACTTCTTTCTTGTCCACAAAGGGTTAGGTTCATTTTGACATAATACTGCTACTTCCGCAGGTGTGTCATTCCTATCTGCTTATATTAATGCCTGCTTTCTTTGAGTGATGCAATTTTACGTAGTCACTGTAGCAAACACGTCTGTTGGAAAGCATTTGTAATACAGACATGCACTTATCCATTTACATTCACGACCATTATAGGTGAGGTAAATTTCAGTTTTTAATATAGCAATGCATCCTTTATGTTACAGTGGCTCATGCTACCTGATTAAATTGCTACCAAAGACCTGAAACAACTTCACATGTTTTTAGATATGTGTTCTCTTATACATGCGATTTCTTGGTGTATACCTTGTATATTTTTTAAGTTAATGCATAGAATTTTTGGTGCTATTTTGGTAGACGGTTGCACAGATTTTTGGCGATTCACGTTGGCGCGATTTTTACAAACATCAGCCATCTTGAAAAACACTGTTTTTACGCATAGTAATGTATTCGAAACTTAAAAATAAATAAATAAATATCGTTAAAAGTAATGGATTAATTTTTTGTTGAAAATGTCGTTTTTTAAGATGGCAGGCAAGTATAAATAAATACATTTACTATGAGTATAAAATACTAAAGTAAGGTTATTATTACTTTCATATAGCAAAGAAGAGAATAAAAACACCACTATAAAAACATTAGGCCAACGTTTAATTAGATTAAAATATTACTGAAATTGAATATCGAATTAAAAACCATCCTACCAACATTTAAAAGAATTAGAATATTATTAAATTCAGATACTTTAAAATATGTTATATAGAATATAATTAACATTAAAAACATATGGACAATAATAATTATCTCAGCAATTTCTGAAAATTGTGTATTAATTTTTTAACAAAAATTGAAGTATACAATTATAAAATAAAGAAAAATATGTACTTGCATTTTTTTGAGTGTTTAACCTGTTGTTTATTGATAAGTACCAAAAAAAAAAAAAAAAAAAAATCAGAATCATAATTTAGATAACATCTTTGAAGAAATTCGAAGATATAAATTAAATTTTAAAACGGCGCGGAAATGCACAAATTGTCAGTAACCAATCAGGGAGCTGATTACAGCTCGTTAATGCACAAATATTCTATAAACAATCAGAGAGCTTATTACATCATGGCTAGAATTAAAATTATTTAAAAATTCATACATAATAAAATCATTTTAAAAAAAATGCAAAATTAAATTGTATTTTAATATTTAAGAGCCATAAAATATGTTTAAAACATTAGATTAAATTTATACATATTAAAACGAATTACTTTTAAAGTAAGGTGACGTCATTGATTACATCATCCACAACATAAAATTTCATAAAATATGATAAACAATAAAATTTTTATTTCAAATAAAAACACAAAATTAAATTGATTTTTAATATTTAAAAGCCATAAATAATATTTTAAACACGGAATTTATGCACAATAAAACACATTATTTTTTAAATAAAATGACAACAAAGTATCGGTTACCATAAACAACTTATCCAGCAATGGGTTTACCATAAGTTGTATTACTCGCCAAAGGAAAATCGCCAAAATCCGTGCAACCGTGTACCAAAGTAGCACCGAATTTTTAATTGTACATATTTTCTACATTAATCAAAAGTAATTCTAAAGTAAAATCAAATCAAATATAAGACCCTTCCTACATTTTAAATTGTATTTTAATAAATAAAAATGTAGGTAAATATTTATTTTGTCTTGAAGTAATATTGAGAAAAATGTAGTTTCCTCCTCCTTTCCTATAGAATTTTCTTGAAACAAAAGTACTGTTAGCTGTAGCTCAGATATTGTCAGTGATATATAGTTTTGAGATATTCCAATAAAATGGATGCTGGCTTAAATTAAAGTTGTATTACTAGACACGGTTTTTATCATTAGTATTAATCAGTTTATATATATGATAATGACCTGTAAGGTTTATTTAATTTTTAAATGGTTATATGGGTTGAATGATATAATTATTTATTTAAAAGGTATAATTACATACTATACAAATTATATCATAGTACATACCTGCCAACTTTTACGAATTTTTCGTAATTTTTACTAAAACGCGTTTGTCTTTACGTTTTTACGATTTTTTTCCTTTTTCAAGTGTTTTTAGTGATTTTTGTTTTTAGAATTTTTCGCCAATTCAGCGATTTTTACCAATTGCATCGTGTTTTACCACCAACTACCGACTACTTCGAATCCAGTAACCTGCAGTTTCTCACAACTCGCCGCTTAACCAGCCAATCCAATGCGCTGAACTTGTTTCTCCCACTCTTTTCTTTGTGGGCGCCAGATTATTTTTTTCTAAAAAACAGTCTTCTATTAGCCGGGAGGAAAGGATTTTCTATCTTCTTTCTTCGGATTTGAACAAAGCACATTGTAGTTTTGTGTTAAGTACCATTAAGATTTTTGAAAGTGTAAATACCCTTCTACAATCAGCTTCGCCAAAATCTGCCCTTGTCCAAATTCTTAATGATCTTTTGAAAGAACTTCATACTAAGTTTGTAAAACCGTCAGTTGTGAAAAACAGTGTGTTGATTCGTGTTGCCTATAATAGTTTGGCAAATCAAAAGGATGACAATGATCTTATAATTGGAAATCAAACCAGGGAACTTGTAAATTGTTTGAAAGATCATGAGAAAAAAGAATTTTTTCAATGTGTCAGAAAGTACTTTTCCTCAGCCTGTGATTACATTGTAAGGAAGTTTCCTTTGCAAAATGAAGTTCTTTTAAATGAAGTGGCAAATTTGAAACAAATTGAAAATTCATCTTTTGAAAAGATTCGTTTCTTTATTGATAAATTTCCATTTTTGTTAACAATTAAAGAAAATGAATGCCATAATGATGCTTTAGATGAACTAAATACAGAACCAATTTTTTCTGCTGCACAGTTTGAAGACTTTGCCAGTTCTGGAGAAGATAGACTTGATGTCCTCGTTGGTACCTTAAAAAGAATAAAAAGAGCTGATGGAACACCAAAATATGATAGACTAGCAAGAGTTTTATGTGCTATTCTCGTAATTCCACACAGTAATGCTGAGTGTGAGAGAGTCTTTCAGTGTTGTGAAGAAAAACAAAACTATGTTTCGTTCTTCAATTTCACCAAAAACTCTAGAAAACATTTTAATTGCTAAATGTTATGAGGAAACTAATTGTTATGACAGGAAATTTTCCAAAGAATTTTTGGCTAAAGCCAAAAAATGCACTCTAAATTCATTGCAATAATTTTTTTGTGTAACATTAAGTTCTTGTTTTATGTTTCCTAATAAATTTTTTAGTTACTACTTAATTGAGATTTACTAATGTAAGTACAATTTTCTTTTTTCTATTTGTATAAATTGTTATTTTTTTAATATCAAAGCATGATATTAATTCTTCGTGTTCTTCTGAATTTTGGAGAAATCTTCTGAATTTTTATCTTTAGAGGTTGGCAGGTATGATAGTATATAATTTGTATAGTATGATAAACTTCTTCCTTTCATTTGGCGATTTCGTTTATCAAAACATCTGAGTATGAAACCATAGTAAATTTTAGGGTGAAAAAACAGGTATGTATATGTATAGAGGAAAATTAAGGGGTGTTAGTTTTGAGTATATACAGTAGGTGAGAAATGTTTATTTTGTAGATATTATATGTGCAGAAATACTTTTGATTCTAATTTCATAATATTTAAAAATATATTTAACATTTATCAATAATTGACCGATTATGTTCATATACAATGGTAATGTATCGGTGTATATTTCATATTTTAAAATCTTCACTTTGAACTTGGTTTTTTAAATATGTGTACTTCTTTACAGACTTCTGTTGATTTATCTGAAGGAGATATCTCAGTGTCCACATTCCAACCAGATATTTATGCTCTGGGAATCCTAAATGCTAATATTAAAACTTCTTTCTTAGGGTATGTTTGTTTTAATTTATATTTATATATTAGTGCAGGGATTTACATATAATATGAAGCTAGTTTTCTGAAATAAGTTGCAAAGTAGTGGGATTTTTATGATATATGAATTATGATTATTTTATATTACAAATAAATTATGTATTGCTTTGAAAGCTTCATTGTAACATATATGCTAATCTGAACTACAGTCAAAAGTCTTTAATCCGGTCTCGTCGGGACTACAGCGATTCCTCATTATCGATTTTTCCAGATTATTGATCATCAGTTTAAATCTGGTAAGATGGCATGCAGAAATTATAAAATTAAAAATATGAAACCATAATTTATGAATAAAGAGCAATTATGATCTAAAAGGTATCAAAATTTACAAAAAAAAAAGCTTAATATTTATTTGTTTACTTTATTAAACATTTCTTTCAATGCGCGCATGCGTAAAGCATACAATATGCAGAGTCGAAATTAGAAAATTGCAACCAGAAAACTATTTGATGTATATTTGTGGTATTTATAATGACGAGGAATTTGATTTAAATCATATCAAAGATGGAGTACATTGAGATGAAATACTACATTTAGTAAAGAATTATAAGTCGAATAAAATAAAAACATCTGCCCTGAAGATAAGGATAGTGCTGACAAATCAAGTTCCATTTCAGTGCACGTCGTGACGCCCCCCCCCCCCCCCCGTAGAGCAGCGTGAAGATTTCGGAATGGTTAGAGAAACAAAGGATATGCCTTTATCCATTTTTTGCAGCAATTCCACTTTTTGTTTGATGGACATCGAAACATGCTTTCGCTTTGTAGATTCTTTGGCAGCTCCAGAATCGGAAATTCTTTTTGACATAATCAAAAGTTCAAGCTTACTTTTATAAAATTTCTCTAACAGTCTGCAAAAAATAATAAGCCGGATCCAATTAGAAGATTATGGAACAATGCAGTCTGCAACATTAACTGAAATAGATAATTAGATAATTTTAGCTTAGCTTATAGCGTTCGTTATACATTAAATGTGCATACGTAAACGCATTATGTGCATGCGTAAATGTATTATGCGCATGCGTTGATGCATTATGCGTTTACGCATGCGCAGAAAGTTTGTAGCTTTGAGGTTCGGATTATGGAGGCCTGGATTAAAGACTTTTGACTGTATATATAATTGAATTTAGTTGTTACAATGAATAGGTTTAAAATCGTATACAGCAGTATAAGCACAGTTTAGTTTTTGCCCTGCCAGTGGCAGAAAGTAATAAAAGTATTTAGGTGTTACATTAATTAACAGTACTTGCTAATTTTGGAAGTATTTTAAATACATAAAAATTGTATGTACCTTATTGACTTTCTGTTTTCTCCCCATGTGTAACTCCGTTAGGTTAAGTACAGGTTTCTGAAAATGTTTAAAATATTTATATAGTTTTTTCTATACACAAGCTGTTCAGAACAACAAGATTTGGGCATTCTCTGCTCCATGAACTCAATCACACTACATGTCCACTCCTCTTTTTGCACTTCTTGGAGGTTTAAACTCCACTATTACCCTTCCAGGGGAGCAACGCACCACCTGGATAAGACACCAGGCAGCACTGGTTGTCAATTGCTCCTGCCAGTCGCATGGACGAGCCCGTCGCAGAGGGCTGTTACCCAGCAACCCGTGGGGTTCTACGGTTCCAACCGCTCAGGACATACCAGACCCCGAGGCTGGCCTATGAGTGACTTTTCCCGGGGGCTTCAGAACCACCAAATTCATAAATTTTTATACCCCCGTGGCCAAGACTGCCTAGGCACAGATTCTAGCCAGTAGCTTTGCAGAATTCTCTGTCGACCCGGGGTGGGGGAAGCTGTTCAGAAAACAGTTTTCCCCTAAGTTTTAAAATGGTTCATGTACATATTAGTTGTTTTCGTCTCATAACTGATTTGCTCATGGATTTTGTATGCAGGGCTGTGTCTGACTAAGCAAGCTCATAGATTGTGTGTTTCTCATGCACCTCATAATTGATTTGCTCATGGAATTTGTATGCAGGGCTGTGACAAGCTTTAAAAAAATAATAATAAGAGTGATATCCTAATGCACTTATGTAATGTGACAACTTGTAAACTGTAGCAGATGACACAGACACCAGTTCCTGGAGCACTGAATGATTTTAAGTTCTAGGGACAACAGTAGTCAACAATAAGAGCAGGCAAGATTCAAAATACAGGAATGAAGATGTGTTATTAGATATTGTAATGTTAACCTCCTCAGACCCGAGACAAAAATAAAAGCTTGATATTTAGTAAGAGGTATTTAAATAGTTGTTTCGATCACTTTGATGTAGAAAAGTGCAATAAAAAAATTTTTTTTAGTTTATGAAAGCTAGGGGAGGATGTATCACATGTGATACATTAGGAACAAGGCACTACAATCAGAATTTTCTTAAGTATTAAGCAGGATTGAAGTAATTAATTTAATCTTAGTCTTTAATCACACAATACATACAATTCATAAATTCAACACAAAATTAAGTTTTATTGGCGTTGTAGGTACATATTAGTATTATTATTACAATAACATTATTCTTTATTTTCGTGAAATGCCTTGAAACAATTTCTACTAGTTGTAAAGCATAGAAAAAACCTTGCAGTCTGTACATTGTACATTTGTTAAGGCCGAGCACTTCTCATTCCTGCACCTACTTCGATGAGTTCTATCCCCAACCATTTCAGGCATGTGCCTAGCTTCATTGTTACGAGCTGCTTGATGTGGAATGCAAGTTGTAACTCTGCGTTTTGGAGGGGTTCATCATTTTTCATCTTCGGCTAGCGAAGGAGTGGGAGATGGCTTCTTCAGTAAGCCGTGGATGAGTTTATTTGCAATACTGAGTCTAAACGCAAAATAGTCCAGAATGTTCTTCTTAGGTTCCCCTAATTCTGTCATAGTATTTCTGTACGAGAGCCATGCACTCGACATGGTAAAGTCGATCATATGCAGAATGACTCGTACTGTCCATTTCTTGGGTTCGGTGCTTCATTCTGTAGAAAACTAATGGTACGGTCCAGATGATCGATGCCCCCCATGTAATCGTTGTAATTTTTTACAATATGAGGGCAATCAACTTCTAAGTATGACTTGTCCGTTTTCGACCATCTTTTGCATTTTGTGATGGGAGTTTTCCCATGCTCACTGGACATCAGCAAAACACTTTTATTGTCGAACCATTTCGCAAGGGAAATTTTTTGATCCACTCTCACAACTTGATCTATTGTCCCTCGGCCTTCTCGTCTCATTTCTGAATCTGACTTTAGTTGTGTCAATTTCGGAACTTTATTTTTCATAAGAGTGCCAGTTAAATGCAATTCTCTATTCAGGAGGAAGTCAAGAAGCAATTCTGAAGCGAAATACCGGTCCACATATATCGAGGAGCCGGGAAATAATGAGTCCGAAAGCTTCAGAGCAACTTTTCCTCCCAAGTCAAGAAAACTTGTATCCTCTGGAGATGTAACATCAGTTCCCTTTCCTTCATAAAAGATGAAATCTAAAGGCAAACCGTACGAAGAGCACATTACAAAAACTTTTATTCCTACTGGGTTTGGCTTTCCTCTGACATACTGTCGCATAGAAACCTGTCCATGAAAAGAGATAATCTGTTCATCAATTGAAACAATTTTTGGCCTTTTTTGCTTCAAGCAACGTTCTCGTATTTTATTTAGCATTGTCCTGACTTTCCAAAATTTATCTTTTTCCTTTATTTCCTTTGCGACATCATTATCATTTAAAACTTTCAAATTGTTGCGAATTTGAAAAAAACCTATCCCTAGAAATATTGTCAGCTATAATGGAAAACCGTGTGGACCTTTCCCATATCATTTTTATCCTGGGATAATACCCACAGCAGGACAAAAGAAGACTGTAGCCTATGAATGTCATCATTTCTTCTTTTGATGCATTAATACTCTTGCCAGTACGTGTTACGGATCGAATGTTACTGAAATTTGCCAAATCTTCATAAAAGCATTCATCTAAATATTCCATAAAATATTCAATGGGTGCAGTACTTTGATATTCAAAGCATCCTACCTCCTGAAAATCAAATGAAACTGGATTGAACTTATCTGTATGTATTCCCCATTAAGTTGGAGCAGAAAAGTCAAAAGTTACATCCTGATCTTCATCAACATCATCCATCTCACATCCATTGTCGCTTTGATAATCATCTTCATCTGACAGTGAACTCAAAACAGAATCATCGCGATTCATCAGCTCTAAAATTTCATTTGGTGTCAAATATTTCACTGAAAAAAAAAATACTTATTAAGTAAAAAAATTATCCGGAAAAAATGGGTAAAAATGGAATGCAAACACCTCAATTACAGATTTGAATTCATGAAATACTTCTATCAATCTTCAAATCCCCCCAAAATATAACTAAAAATTAAAACAAAATTGTCTTAAAAAGTGTGTTCATAAGTGATTGGGTCCCATTGTATCACAAGTGATACAAACAAATTTCACAAGTCATTATACTTTAATATTTCAGTAAAAATTTCTTTTTTTGCTGTTAACTAGTAAAAAGTACATATACAAAGAGAAAGCATATTTTAAAAATAGTTTAATATTTGTATATAAATAAGAAAAAAATACTTACTTACTCTTCGATGACGTGCAGACATTTTGTTTTGATTCAGAGATGCTACTAGAAATCGCTATCATGGACAAGTACTGCCATCTGTTGACTAAACGAGGAAAATATATGAGGTATTTCACTTTGTATCTTATGTGATACAACCGGTCCCAAATTTGTTTTTTCAGCTCAGCCTTCACAAAAAATTATGAAACTTTTGTATCACATGTGATACAAGGGAACCGAGGAGGTTAATATTACTATATATTACTATTGGAATGTAGGTTTCTTATAAATAAATTATATTGTGATGGTGACTAGTAGATTATTCATGATTACTTTTCATTTATTATGTTCGTAGTGCAATTGTGTTCTTTGAAAATTGAATTATTTGCATAATTT